GCACCTCTGGGCAGATGGAGCTCAGCTGGAAGAGTGCTAACCCAGCATCTGTCTATCAGGTTCTGGGTTCAATCGCCAGTGCTCCATAAACCAGACATGGCAATGCCTATAACCCCAGTAAGGATTGGAGAAAGGAGGTTCTGAAGTTCCAAGGTTGATCTCAACCACACAGTGAGGTCACCAGCCTGTGTTACATGAGATCCTCTCACAATTACAAAAAAAGGGGGGTAGGGGGTAGGGTGGGAGTAGTCTGTAGGATACCTGTGAAGATATTTTTGTTTGTCCTAGGGACTGGCCCGTCGCCGCCTACAGCATGGAACTCTGTCACTGGCGGAGCTATTCTCAGCCCTCCCCCGTTCTGTGTCATTAGTGTTTATTTCTGACGCTGACCTCAGGACAGTAATGTCCACACCAACTCCTGTGAAGGGGTGAGTGTGGGCCTCTGGCTTCCTGAGTTAATCATTCACCTGGGCTGGCTGCTCAGAAGGCAACCAGAGGAATGCAGACTCTTAAGACATCTGCCTGCAGGAAGGAAGGAGGCCTTGGGGTCAGCCCAAGAGGCTGATAATGCTCTCTACCCCACAGCTTTCATTCAGTCCCAGCCACATCCTGTCCTGAGTTACCTATCACGTTCACTTCCATTTTCCCAGACTGCAATTCTTGGAGTAGGAAAATGATAACCTGACTGGCCAGGATATGGACTTCAAGTCCAGCCTGTTTAAACAAACAAACGAACACCCACCCACCCCCAACTCTTGTGAGTCAAGATATACTTGCCTAGTTAGGGCCCTGGTTCCAATCCCAAACGCCATAGAAACAACCCAAAAAAGCCTTTATCAAAACAAAAACTGCAGTCGGGCAGTGGTGACGCACACCTTTAATCCCAGGATTGGGAAGCAGAGGCAGGCAGATCTCTTGAGAGTTGAGGACATCCTGGTCTACAGAGTGAGTTCCAGGACAGCCAGGACTACACAGAAAGACCCTGTCTCAAAGCCGGGCAGTGGTGGTGCACACCTTTAATCCCAGTACTCATGAGGCAGAGCTAGGTGGATCTCTGTGAGTTCGAGGCCAGCCTGGTCTATAGAGTGAGATCCAGGAAAGGCACAAAGCTGCACAGGGAAACCCTGTCTCAAAAAACCAAAATCAACCAATCAACCAAACTAAAAACTACGGTTGGGCCGTGGTGGCTCACACCTATAATCCTAGCATTTGGGAGGCAGAGGCAGGCAGTTCTGAGTTCAAGGCCAGCCTGGTCTACAGAGCCAGGTGAGTTCCAGGACAGCCAGGGTTAGAGAGGAAA